TTTTTTTTTTTTTTTTTTTTGCAGAAATTGATAAGCTGATCAGAATTCATATGGAAATGTAAGGGACCTGGAATAACCAGAACAACTGTTAGGGATTGATTTGTATCTTCACAAAAAGATATGCACAGGCATAACCCCCAGTACTTCAGAATGTGACCTTATTTAAAGACAGGCCTTTAGAGAGGTAGTCAAGTTAAGACAATTGCAAAGGTAATCATTAGGGTGGGCCCTAGTCCAATATGACTAATGTCCTTGTGAAAAGGGGCAATTCGGACACAGAGACAGATGGCACAGAGGGAAGACAATGTGAAGACAGAGGGAGAATGCCACGGAACGCCTGATGCAACCAGAAAATAGTATAGAAGTGTGGACTCTCTCTCACAGGACTCAGAAGGAACCAAACCTGCTAACACCTTGATTTCAGACGTCTAGCCTCTAGAACAGTGAGACAATTTCTGTTGTTTAAACCACCCAGATTGTGGTCCTTTGTTATGGCAACCCTAGCAAAGTAACACAGCAATCTTGAAGAACAAAGAAGAACAAAGGTGGAGGATTCACACTTCTCCATTTCAAAACTTAGTACAAAACTAATCAGTATGGTGTGGTACTGGCATAAGGATAGACATATAATTAACCAAATAGAACTGAGAGTCCAGAGATAAACCCTAAAGTTTATGGCCAATGATTTTCAGGAAGCGTATCAAGACAGTTCAATAAGGAAAAAAAAGTGTTTCAACAACTGATTCGGGAACAGCTGGATAACCACATACAAAAAATCCCTCAGTCACACCATATGCACAGTTTTAACTTCAAATGAATCATAAAACTAAACATAAGAGCTAAAACTATAAAATTCTTCGAGAAAACGTAGAGGTAAATCTGACTAAGCAATCAATTCTTAGATATTACTCCCAAAGGACAAGCAACAAAAGAAAAAATAAATTGGACTTCATCAAAATGTTAAGTTTTTTGTGTTGTTAAGAACACCGTAACAAAGTGAAAAGACAACCCACGGCATGGGAAACAAGATTTACAAATCATACATCTGACAGGGACTTGTATCTAGACTATATGAGAAACTCTTACAACTCAATGATAAAAAGATAATCCAATTTAAAAATGGGCAAAAGATTTTAATAGACATTTTTCCAAAGAAGATATAAAAATGGCCAATCATCACATAAAAAGATACTCAACATGGTAAGTCATTAGGGAAATGCAAATCAAAACCACAACGAGATACCACTTCACACCCACTAGGATGACTATAATCAAAACGAGAGCTAGTGAGTGTTGTTGAGGATGTGGACTAACCGAAATCCTCCTACATTGCTGGGGGGGAATGTGAAATGGTACAGACACTTTGGAAAACAGGCAATTCCTCAAACGATTAAACAGAGTTACTATGGGACCCAGCAATTCCACTTCTAGGTATATAACCAAGAGAAATTAAAACCTATAATTGCATAAAAACTTGTACATGAATGTTCATAGTAGGATTATCCATAATAGCCAAAAAGGTAGAAATGACCCAAATGCCTATCAACTGATGAATGGATAAACAAAACGTGCTGTATCCACACAAGGGTCTATTTAGTCATAAAAAAGAAAGAATACTAACATGAGATATAAGATGGATGAAACTTGAAAACATCATTTTAGGTGAAAGAGGTCAGACACCAAAAAAAAAAAAAATTGTAGGATTCTACTTATTTGAAATGTATAGAATAGGCAAATTCACAGATTTGATAGAGAGTACATTAGTGGCTGCCAGGGCCTGGGGGAGGAGGGATGAGAAGTGACTGCAAACAGGTATGGGCTGAATTTTAGGGGGATGCAAATGTTCTGGAATAAGATAGTGGTGATGGTTGCATGACTTTGTGGATGCACTAAAACCCACTGAATTACACACTTTTTTAAAGGGTAAATTTTATGGTATGTAAATTACATCTCAATAAAGTTGGTATTTAAAAAATTATCATCTGCAAACCTGGTAAAGTTGCAATAAAACTTGGAGACTTTAGTCACTGGCAGCAGTTTAAATTGGCGTAGTAGCAATTTCACAAAGTGCTCGGCCACTGGCAATACATTAGAGGTGGAGAGATGTCCAGAAAATGTATGAATTGCCTTCCATGGTTAAAGCTAACACCATGGACATTTAGTAAACATCTGGTTGGCTGAAAAATCTATAGTTGGGTCCACATGGATGACAAGGGGACTGAAGAGAATTTCTGCACCAGCAAGGAGGTGAACAGCCCCCTGAGCCACCCAATTCCTGAGACACATCCTGCCTACAAAGTCCCGGGCACAGCATTCTGCTCCAGGCAGGCTTGTCCAGGTCTTGGGAGCCATCCTTTGGCTCTTTCTCACTCTTCCACTCATGACTCTAAGTAGACCATGTGGGGCCAAGGCTGCCTGCCAGAGTCCAGGGTACTGTTTCCTCTTAACACTCATCAGTCATTACACACACGCACACGCACACGCACACACGTCTGGCCTACGAGCTTTGTCCTTGAGTGTCAAGATTGCATGAGCCTGTCATCCAGCAAACACCCAAATGCCCCCCTCCTGGGGATCAATTCCAAAGGAATAAATAAAAGGACAAAAGCTGTGGACATGAAAATGTTCACCGCCCTCTTAGCTTCAGTCGTAAAACTAGAAAGTGCCCAAGTGTAGAAATTAAGGACTATTATGATTCCCTTGTGGAAGGTTTTGCAGTCATTAAAGTCAATCACTGTGAAGATGGGTAGAAGAATGATAGGGAAGATGCCCAGAAGGAAAGCATGATGTTAACGCTCTGTGTGGGGAGTCCTGTACACCTGGAAGGGACTGGAAGGCACATGGGCCATGCTGTTCCTCACTGGCTTGCTGTTGTTTGAAACCTGAAAGTCTCAGGTAATTAGTCTCTCAGACACAGTCATACTCACCAGTCTCATAGAGCTTGATGTATAAACCGGATCCCAAGCCAAATATGCTGCAAATCAGTACTGCCCAGAAGGCCACTTTGTGCAAAAGCTTGGTCCCCAGAAGGAAACATTTGCTTTGGGAAAATTAATCTGCATAACCTGGAGCAAGTCCCTTAAACCTCTCTGAGCTTTGCTTTCTCACCTATCAAGTGGGAGTGTCACCTCACAGGCTGTGGTAATGACGGGGTAGCAGAGGATTGGCTGGGATAGGGCCTTGAAGGACACAGGAGCCAGAGGACACTCACCTTGGGGATGAGCCAGCCAAACTCGTGATTGTTGACACCCAGGAGGAAGGGCACAGAATGGAACTGCCTCTCCCTCAAGAGCTCCCTGGGGCTCTTGGGAAAGAAGGTGCCATCAATGGTGTAGGTAGCTGTAGTGTTCTGTAGGAGAAAGCAAGGCAGGGGTCTTCCCAGTCAGGCCCATGCCTTAAAAGATGGCATCCCAGGGGTCGCATGGCTGCACGCCTGAGCCTTATTTAGAGGGGGTAGAAGTCACCAGGGTTAGAGGACCCAGGGGGAATAGGGAGACCTTCTAAGCACGCCTCTTCCCTGGAAGACAGGGCCTGCTCTCCGGGCAGGGGTGCATCTGCATTCACACACCCCCAGGCCAAGTTGGGCCCTCAGCCCCTTCCCATCAGGGGTGGCTGCCCCAAGCCTCACCCCAGGCTGCTGATTGCCTCTCGGCTCTCACAGAAGCTGGACAGGACCCCTCTGTGCTATTGCCTGCCACTGTCCCCCAAGAGGTAGGCATACCAACTTCATGTTAAGGATCTGCTCCTTGTTTGCCTTCTCCCGAAGGCACTGCAACATCTCAGCTGAGGAGGTAGAGCTGCAGGCCATGGAGTCCGCGAAGCTCTGGGGACAGATAAGAGTCTTGCCTCTCCCTCCCTCCTCACCCCTCCCTCCTCACCCCCAGCCCTCTGCCTCCCATAGAGAAGAGGTACATCTGTAGGGAAGATGGGACAGTGATGTCAGAGATGGGAACTTGGGACTGACCAGAGAACTGCCACCAAGCCACCAGCTTGGGTGGTCCCCAGGCACCTTGTGTGTCCCCCATTACATCATACTGTCATTATTTGTGTGGGTAGCTGAGTCCTCCTTGCCAATCTGAGAACAGTGTCATTAACTAGTTAACTATATTTCCAGACCCAGTGGGGTCAGGAAAGTTTTGCCAGAGTGAATATGGAAATGAGATAGGGTTCAGAGAGGAGGGATTCCAGCATGGCCAGTGTGGCAGGGAGGGGATGATAGTGGGTGCTGAGGCCTGAGCAGTTTGGGGAGTCAGCAGGAAGTGAGGCTGGAGGTGCGGGTCCCCGAATCATTTTGTGCCCAGGTGGCACTGGTGCTTTTCTCTGAGCTTCCGTAGGCAGTGTGCTTCCTTCGTCTCTGCTAACAAGGGGCTCCCTGCCAGGGACATCCATTCTGGGACGTCAGGGCAAGTGCAGGGTGGGGGTGTGGTAGGTACATGTGGGGTAAGAGGATGAAAGAGAGGCAGACTTGAGCCAGGAGCCTTGGGTTCGAAGCCTGTAAGCCGGGAATGGTGATGACTCCACTCTGGGCTATGGCTCTGTGGAATAGCCCTGCAGCCAGCGGGGACAGGACCTGGAAGCAATGTGGAGGACAGATGGCTGTCAGAGGAGGGCAGGAGAGCTGGGAGGTCTGGGGCCGCAGGAGATACTGTTGCTAGTCCCCTGAGGTGACTCACCAGGGCAGAGACGATGCAGGCACCGGCAGAACCGCCAAAGATGGTGACAGAGTTGGGGTCACCTCCAAAGGGGGAGATGTTCCCCTGCACCCAGTGCAGAGCAGCCACCACATCTAGGAAGCCCCAGTTGCCAGGGGCGTGCCCGTCTCCAGTGCTGGGGGCGGGGCACAGGGTGGCAGAGGTTAGCGCAGCCTGGCTCCCCTCATAGATTGTCCTCAGCCCTTGCAGGTTGGCCCTGAACCAGCCACCAGGACGGCACACCGTCCCCCGTTCACCAAGTCTGGCTTAGTTATGAGGCATGCTTACTAGGCACGTGCCCAGCACATGGTACGGGGGGACCCAGCCGGCTGGGGCTGGTTCTCAAGTGGCTGCCAGAGCTGTTGCTCCCTGCCTCCAGCCCTTGCTGGGATCCTGGCCCCAGACCAGGAGCCAACACTTTCTGTCCAAAGGACCAAGTTCTCTGTATAATTCTGGCTTTGATCGAGCCCTTCTCCAAGGTGGAGCAATGGGGAGCCTCCTTCTCTGCCCCAGATGGCATGGGGGAGGGGCCCTTGGTCTCCTGACACTCTGCTTGCCTGAGAAATCTGCATTCAAGCTCTGGACCTCCACCCTAGTTCCCCAACTCCCCTCACAAGCTCCTCTCCCCAGTGCCAGCAGTGCCCTCCACCAAGCCAGTCACCTCACCTGAGGAAGCCAAGGAGCCCCAGGCGGTACTGGACCGTGACCACTACCACATCCCCATAGGCTGCCAGGGCTGACCCGTCTTGGGAGGTGGCAGCGCCGGCCACCAGAGAGCCCCCATGGATCCATACCATGACCTGCAGAGAAGCCATGGGGCGGTGACCCCCAGCTCCCGGGACACCAGTTGCCCTGCCATCAACCCAGGGCATTCTTGGGAACCCCCCTCAGTACGGAAACAGGGCTGGAGAGAGGTTAGACAGGGCAGAGCTGCATGGGCAAACAGGGCCCCCTGGGCTGCACACCGGCCGCCTGGCCCCCACGGTGGCCTCAGTCGGGCTATAGATGTTGAGGATCAGACAGTCCTCTGAAATAGGGAAGTGCTGGTGCTTTCCGTTCAACACAAATCTGCTGTTGTCCATTCTCTCCAGATCCTGCAGGCACCTGTGGCGAAGGATGAACCCAGGGCCAGCAGCTCAGCACACCGGTCCTGGCATCTAGGCCCACCCCCCCAACAGCCTGCCTGCTTGCCCACCTCCGCTGAGGCTACTCACATCGCAGGGGCAGTGCTGGCATCCCGCACACCCTCCCAGGACTGCGCTGGGCGCGGGGCTGAGAATCGGCCAGGCCCCAGAGGTGGCTTGGCAAACGGGATGCCCAGGAAGACATTCACAAGGCGGTCTGTGCCCTTCACGCCCACTTGCTGGCCTCGCACACGGCCCAGGGTGGTGTCCACTTCAGGCTGAGTGACCTCAGGCCCTGAGAGTAGGACGGAGGGCCATGGAGTGAGTTTGCAGCCTCCACAGGGTATGGAGTGGCAAATGGACTCACTCAACACTGGCTCTCTGAGCACCTACTCTATGGGCCTTGTTCTGAGCTCTTTGCACACAGCGCTCTGACTACCTTCCCAGCAAGCCCGTGGGATGGACCCTATGACTACCTCCCACTTTCTCCTACTGCCTCAGCATGGCTACCACTCTTCTCCAGGCCAGACCAGTTCCCCGAGGGAGGCTCTCCCGGACTCACAGACCTGCTCTGGGGCTTTGCTTGGGCTAGCCATTCACCCTCAGATTCCTCATCTGCTCAGTTAAGTGCAATAATCACATCTGTTCATTTTCTTTATTTTGATGTTTTGACATAGGGGAGCCTTGCAGACTCTGGAGGGACTGTAGGTCTCAGGGCTAGCCAATTCTTAGAAATAGTAAACAATTCACTGAGAGGTGTGCCTTCCCGAGACAAACCAACCAATCCAGAGTCCATGCTCCCAGCCACCTCCTCTGTGGGCTTCTCAGATTCTTCCACCACTAGCCACCTGCCCTAATCACCCGAGGGCCAGGTGCCACACAACTAGAGACAGCCCTCTGCCCCAGAGCCCACTGAAAATCTTCAAATTAACTAATCTGAAACCTGCTTCACCTTCGCCTGCCTTGCCTGTTCCTTCTCTGGGAAACAACAAAGCCTCTTGACCCCGTTTTCCTCTCGTGTCCTCTCCATCCTGACAGAGCGGACCCCATGCTTCCCTGCATGCCTCTTGTTTCTAGGAACTGTGAGTAAACCTCTTTTCATTACAGTGACTTCTGTGTCTATCTTAGTGATTACAAGAATCCTGGGTGCCCTTAAAACCTAAGGACAATCGTGTTCTCTGGCAGGGCTGCTCTGGAGATCACACACACACACACACACACACACACACACACTCAACCCCTGCCTGGAGAGGATGCACATCCCCCCGGCACTTCTTGGAACCGAGGGATCCTTCTCGGAGAAGGCTACCCAACGCTCCCCATCCCTACCTCACTCTTGCCTTCTACTCTAGTCCTCCCAACAACCCCGAAGCTCCCAGCTCTGCAGGTCCTGCTGGTGTGTCTTACCAGTGGCTGTAGCAGGGAATGCCAGGAGCAGACAGGCCACCCAGCCCAGGGCCCTGGGCCCAATTCTTACCACTGTCCCCATGCTCCTCACAACTGACTATAGGCAGAAGTGGTGCAAGTTATAATAAAGCCTCCGTCCTTTGGCACAGCCAATCTCTAAAGGGCTGTATTACAAAAACCTCGGTGGCCAGCCCCATCTGGCTGGTGGCCAGCCCTAACACGCAGTGCTTAGTGCCTCGGCTGGGGGAGGAGGGCTCAGAGAGTGCCCTGCAGGAGTGTGGGTGATGTGACAATTCCAAAGAAGGGAAAGAGCCTGGGCCGTGGAGCTCTGCAGTTCTGGGTTCAAATACCAGTTCTCCTGACTCAGTGAACCCAGTATACCCAGGGTGTATTTTGGGGGTGGCTTTTTCATGTAGGCCCACTCTCTTGAGGCTCCTCACATGACAGGGCAGAAGCAGAGCACTGCCCTCAAGGCGCTTGGGTTCCTGGGCAGGAGGAGCTGAGGTCTGCAGGTAGAGGGAGGAATGGAGGAAGAGGAGCAGGAGAGATTCTTATTCACAACTCCTATCCTACTCCAAATCCCTGGAAGATGTGATTTCAGAGCCGGATCTCCTGCGTTCAAATCCTGGCTCTGCCAAGTGCTGGCTCTGGGTCTAGTGTCGTCATCCGTAAAAGAGTGATGATAATAGGAACCACCTCGCAGGGTTGAAGTGAGGTTGCATGTGTGAAAACACAAGGCATGGAACCAGAGCCACTAGAAGCCTGTTCTTGCCTCAGGGCAGGGGTCTGTCAGGGTGTCCATCTCTCTGGGACAGCCCCTACTATAAGTAAGGGCAGGACTCTCCTCTGGGTCTTAGTGTCAGGAGCGTGTGGGGGTTGGGATGGTGGGGAGTGTGAGGCACTGGCAAATATTTACTAATTCAAACAGAAGTGCTGGCTCAGTGAGGAACAGGGTGAGGGTCATGTTGAGAGAAGATGCCAGATTCTGTCCTGGGGTTCCAGCTAGCATTCAGAGCTGGAGAGGCCTAGGATCAAACTTCCCTCTGTGCTCCTTCCTGGATTGTCTTTGGCAAACTCCCTGGTGGGGGCCGTTCCTGTCCCTGAACCTTGATCCATAGGTACATTCAGGAGAGCTAGAGCATGGAGGGGAGAGAGACAAACACAGAGACAGGGACAGAGAGACAGAGAAAGACATGAAACAGGGAACCAACCACAGTAAGATACCACTGCACACCTACTGAAATTAATCAAATGTACAAGACTGATAAGACCAAGTGTTGCCAAGGCTATGGAGCAATTAGAACTCTCACAGATGGCTGGTGGGGTACAAAAATGGTATAGTCATCTTAGAAGACAGCTTAGCATTTTCTTTAAAAATTTAAAGAAATTAAATTTTAAAAATTGAATGTCACTGAAATGTTCACCAACTGGTGAATGGATACCACGTAGCATACCATACATGGAATACCACTTTGCAAGAAAAGGAAACTACTGGTTGCATCTCAAAAACATTATGCTAAGTGACAGAAACCTGCAACAAGTGATTCCATTTCTAGAACATTCTAGAAAATGCAAACTATGGCAATAGAAAGCAATTGGGTGGTTGTGTGGGCCAGGGTCAGGATGGGGATTGACTGACTGCAAAGGGGCATGAAGGAACTCTTTGGAGCAATAGAAGCATTCTAAAACTTGATGTGACAGTGATTGTATATTTCCTGAAGTGGGTGAATTTAATTGTATGTAAATTATTCCACAATAAAGCTGTTTAAAAAAAATAAGATGATTAAAAAACTAGTACTGGGAACCCACTTTTAGAAAGTATATTATGCATCTGCAGGGCTGAAAAACATACAGAGGCATGCATGCTGTGGGTGCTCAATAAATGCTTTCAGAATGCAAGAGAAGCTTCATGCACCAGTCAGCAGTTCACCACAAGGAAAGCCCATTCCCTCTAAGACAGCCAGGCTTAAGGTTATCCTCGTCTGCCATCTGGTGGCCTCTCTGCATCCTTCAGGCCCCATGTCACGAGGCTCTATGGTTGGGCTTAAATGTAGTGGAGGGAAAGGAGGACTTTCTTTCCTCCTGGAAAATCTAGTGTGTGGAGAGGGCAAGTTGGTCAGAGGTGGGGGCATAGCAGGACGCCTAGGTCCACGAGAAGAGGGATACAGCCTATTAGTGACGCAGAAAAAGTGCTTTGGTGGAACAAAGAGGCAGAGTGAACACAATTTGGTATTTTTGCACACTGAGATCAAATACCATATAAGACAGGGTTTCTTTCGGGGGGTGAGTAAGGTGAGGGAAAGAAAAGTTTAGGGAATGCAATGGGGTAAGCAGGAAAACTGATCATGTGGATGCTCAGAGTGAGTTGGGGGATGTTCAGTGGGGGTGGGGGGGTGGCAAGGAGAATTCTAAAAGGTAAGAGGAGCCCCTCCTTGGATAGAGAGGCCTTTGGAAGTCTGCGTACAAGAGTCTCTTCTCCTGAGCTTTCTGGCCCCTCAATCCTACTTCCAGGAAACATCTCACAGATAAACATCTTCATGGATGTGCTACAATCCTGTAAAGTTTGGGTGTCACAGCACCACTGAAAATAAAGGCAAATTTCGGGAGGTGGATGGCTGAGGGACCCACCCAGTTCTTCTGGACACTGCACAGCTGGCCCAGGTTCCATGGGCCGCATGGACAAGCTCAGGCCTTCTTCTTACAAAAAATGGAGTTGGTCACCTCTGTGGAACACAGATAAGTGAGTGAGTGAATGCTGTGTTTAAATGTTTATTTATTTTTAAGATGGAGAGAGAGAGTGAGAGGGGAAGGGGCAGAGAGAGAGGGAGGCACAGAATCCAAAGCAGGCTCCAGACTCTGAGCTGTCAGCATAGCACCTGACACGGGGCTCAGACCCATGAACCATGAGATCATGACCTGAGCCGAAGTCAGACGTTTAACTGACTGAGCCATCCAGGCGCCCCTTGAGTGTTGTGTTTAAATGTCAGTGATAGATGACATTTAGTCTAGGGGACAATGGGTGGGGCAGGGACTTTTACATTCACAGTAGCTGGTGGCCTCGGTGGTCAAGATCTCGGAGCTCCTGGGCTCCTGGCATCCAGATTTTCTACTTACAGATAGGAGAGCATGTGGGGCTTGTTGAGAGCCAGGTGTGGTTAACATTTCCCAAAGCACCCTCCTTCAAAGGGAGGGGGGAGGGAGGGTGGGGATGGGGTAGAGGTGAGGAAGAGGGGGTGGGGCCCCAGGCTCAGTGGGGTGTGCACTTCCATCGGGATTTGCCCATCCCCGGCTTCATTCACTGAGTATGTCTAAAGTCTAACATGAGAGGATGTGTGGGGGGCTTGGCAAGTGATATGCGGTAGGCCCTTAATAAATGTTTGCGGGCTGGCTGGCTGGAAGCATGCGTGAATGGCTATGTGAACGAAGGCAGAAGCGACTAGCTCCTCAGTGGGTGTGTGTGGGCATATGCGGTAGACTCCCACCTGCACCCAAATGCACCCCTCCACCCTCTCACCCTAGACAGGGATGTAACAGGGAGTTACAGCTCTTTGTGATTTTCCTCCGCCTCCTTTAGCTCCTGTATCTTCTGGGGTAGGGTCTTTGTCCAGAACTGGAGCCTGTGGGCCTTCAGGGCTCGGCCCACCGCAGGCTGCAAGTTCAGCTGTAAGTATTGCTCTTCCTGGTCGAACACAGGCCAGTGGGGCAGACCCTTGCCGTTGGGGTTCCTGTAGACATGCCCTCCCAGCAGGGCAGGGGAGAGTCACTCTGAGCCCTGCTGAGCCCAGACCTGGCACCCCAACTGGAGTCAGGCTAGGTACCAAACAAGCTGGGTGGGCTTGGGGAATGACAGGGGGATGTTTCTAGACTTAGGAAAGAAACTACCTCCCACTAGAGCGTCAGCTCCACCTGGGCAACCTGGGCTGTTTTTTCCCTTCCTGTCAGAGGGAGGCTCCTGGAGATGGACTGAGCGCTCAACACCCACAAGGCCCCTCCCAGGCTCCTGAAGCTAGGGAAGGAACCACCATGCAATTAAGGAAACATGTAAGCTAGTAAGACACAACAGAAAAGGGGGACCTTGAATGGTTCAAGCCGGCACAGCCCCTGGAGGTTAAGGTGGGGCGTGCCATCTCACCCATTTCGAGCGAAGTTAGCCCAGTACTTCATTATCTTCCTGCTCAACAGCTCTTCCTCCTCAGTGACTTTAACTATAGGGAGCAAGAGGACAAGGGTCCAGGTGAGTGAGCACCAACCCCGGCCCAGCACACGGGTCAGCCCCCACCTCACTCGCCAGCCCGTGTGCAAGTGTGCAACTTTTCCCTGGCTCCTCCCCTGCCCTCCCAGGCCTGGCTCTCTGCCCACTCTCCCCGCAGCCCTTGGGAGCCAGGCCCTCTCCCCGCCCAAACTAGGCTCATCTCTGTCCTAGGAGGCTCCCTTCTTCCTTCTGACATTGCAAAATCATTTAAGAAACAAATATGCTTTTCAAACACCCTCCTCTGCACCCATGCCAGGCATCCATGGTTGAAGTGGGGAGAGGTGGAGGGAGAGAAGACCCCAGCCTGGAGAGTCTTGGACTCCAATTCTAGCTCAGCCTTTCTAGCTGTAAGATTTGGGCGCCTGATTCTTTCCTCTCTCTCATCTCTACAGTGAGGGCTATCACCCTCACTCAGGGACCCAGCCAAGGCCCTGTCCCGCATTCTGAGAATGAGGGGTCTCTGAGGGACCCCACCCAGGAACACTTACCATAGCCTTTCCAGAAGGCAGTTCCGAAGACAAAGAACATCTCATCACCATGGTCTGCCCTCACGTGGGGCGGCTTGGTGTCCTTGAAGAAGCTGGGCCGATGTTGGAACTCATAGAAGTAGACGGGGGCATGCACACCTAGAGGGTGAGGTGGACAGGCCGTGATATGGCTGTCCCTTCCCTGGGGCCGCCCTGCATTACCCATGGTGACGAGAGAGCTAGGTCCAGTGCTGGTTGGAATCTGAACAATGGGGTGAGGGAGCCACTGGCTGGAGCAAGAGCAGTGGGAAGGACCTGGGTTCAAATCGTGACCTGGATTCAAATTGTGTGTGGTTTTAGGTACGTCACTGAAGGTCACTGAACCTCAGTTTCCTCATCTGTAAAATGAGGAATGTCTCTTAGGTTAGCCATGAGGATTTACTGAAACAAGGGACATCACGTGCCTGGCACCTATGGGCCCAATAAATAGACATGAGTTGGGACCTGGACACCAATAGACCTTGCCAGGGACCTACAGCTCTGAGCTGCCCCCTTACTGGTCTGGCTTTAGTTACAGATGTACTCACGTTGAAAACTGGCTACTTGGAGTGCAGGGATCACGAAGATATAGTCCCCCATCATCTCATGGAACTGGACCTGGAGGGTCTGTGGGTCTGCACTGTCCCCTAAGTACTCCTCCATCAATATGTCAACAGACTGAGGAGGCAACACCTACCCCAGGTGGATCAGAAATAGTCAGGTTAGGTGGGCTGGTGGCAGCAGGGAGGCAGCAGGGTCCGGGCTGGGCAGACGGATCCTGGGATGGTCTAGGGAATGGAAGGAAGGGGCCTAGCTCCAGGGTGACACAGCCTTTGCTCATGGGAGACAATGCATGGACACGGTATCTTGGGGATAGGTCTTCCCTGCCTCTGGACTGGAGTAAAGGCCCTCTTCATTGGGGCAGGACCCCAGAAGCCTCACCAACATTGCCAACATATTCCGCAGAACAGCCTTCACAGTCTCTCTGTCCTTCTGGGTGTCAGAGATGTCCAAGGCCTGGGTAGTGGGGGAATCTCAAGTTGAGGGTAGGATGGGCCTAGATAGAGCTATGAAGCCCAGAGCCCTGCTCCCCAAAGGACTCCTGGCACCTGGGAGCTTGGGGCTGAGCCTCACCGAGGGGATGAGCCAACCGTACTCATCGTTGTTGACACCAATGATGCTGGGGACAGGTTGAAAGTCGGCAGAGGCCAGCAGCTCGTGGGAGTGCCTGGGCAGGAAGGTCCCATCCACCATGCCAGGGATGATCCTGAAGGGCTGAGAGGGCCCACAAAGTCAAGTCCCTTTTTCTGATGGCTTCTGGATCCCAGTCACTCCTTCCCAGCTCATCCAGGACACCCATACGCTCTCCCTCAGGAGGTCCTACAGCTGGCTTAGCATGGCCTGGCCTCAACTTCCCGCTCAAGACTGTGAGGACACCAATGTGTGGAGATGGAATAACTTGCCCAGAGAATGAAAGGGATGTGTTCCCCACACCTGTCAGTCCTTTTCCTCCATACACGCATCCACTCAGCCTGACCTTATTAATGGCCAGAATCTCCTCTTCACTCTTGCCCCTCAGGCAGTCCACCAGTGCCTCTGAGTCAATCTGGCCACAGGCAGACATGTTTGCCACCATCTGTAAAGAGACCAGGCAGGGGCTGGCTCATCCTTCCAGGCAAGGGTGAATGATTTGTCTAAGGTCCCAGCTGGGGGCAGGTGCACCACAAATCTCACAGGTAGTAGGGCAGCAGTTTTGCGGGCCATAGAACATGCTCAGCCTCTGCAATGGCAGAGTTCTGTGGATTCTGATCCCTGAGCCCCTCCGCAATCCCCGGAGAGGTGGTGGTTTCCCAAGTGCTCTGATGGCAGGGTAGTCCTCGTTGTCCTCATTTAACAGAGTAATGGAGGCTGAGAGGTAAAAGATGAAGCAGCTTCCCACAGTTGGGGGTACTCACCGTGGAGACCGCATCAGATGAGCTATCAATGAGGCTGGGCAATAGAGCCACACCACTCTCCATGATGGCACCATGGAAGAGTCCTTTGGACATGGGGGACACGACATGTGAGGACACACTTGTGCCACCTGCAGACTCGCCAGAAATGGTGACACGGCCAGGGTCTCCCCCAAAATAGGCAATATTTTGCTGGACCCAGCGTAGCGCAGCCACTTGATCCAGGTAGCCCCAGTTGCCGGTTGCATGCTTGTCTCCAGTGCTGAGAGTGGCAGGGACAGGGATTATGGGGCTGTCCTGGCTTCACTCAGCTGGCATTGCCCTGCCCAACCCCAGGCTCACCTGAAGAAGCCCAGTACACCCAGGCGGTACTGAATAATGACCACCACCAGGTCCTCAAAGGCCGCCAGTGCAGAGCCATCATACATGGAAGCCATGCCGACCGTAAACCCACCACCGTGGATCCACACCAACACCTGGGGAAATTAAAGCACAGACACCATGTGGCTCCCATCCAGCCACTGGGGCTGCTACCTAGACTAACCACCACTTTGTCTCTGTCTGCCTAACCACATAGATAGAACGCAGGCGGGCAGGGTGGCGTCTTCATGACCTGGGCTGAGGGTGACCCAATTTCTATCAGGAAAATTTGACTTCTGATATTTTGGGGCCCTCTCCTCCTGGCTCCATTTCTCCCAGAACTCTCTCTGATGTGGAAAGAAAAGGGGCATCATCCCACATGCACATTAATTAAAAGTTTCTCCACTCTCAGGGTTCCTGCGTGGCTCAGTCAGTTAAGTGTTGACTCTTGATTTTGGCTCAGGTCATGATCTTGCAGTTCGTGGGTTCAAGCCATGCATCAGGCTCTGCAATGACAGCACAGAGCCTGCTTGGGATTTTCTCTTTCCCTCTCTCTCTGCTCCCCGCCCCCTCTTTCTCTCAAAAGTAGATAAGTAAACAAACAAAAGTTTCTCCATTCTCATAAGCCCAACAGATACAGCACCCGAGTGGGTCTCCTGGGCATGAGTTGGTTGGGTGAGCCTTGGGTCCAGCCCAGGGCCACAGCTTGTGACCTCCGGGAGCAGTCAGGGTTCTATGACCCCATGGCCAAGGGTCAGCCATTAATGCTGAGTAAGAAGCACTCCCCTGGACCCACTAGTGGGAGGCTTCTCAACAGGGTCCACGCTGCAGCAGTGCCCAGTCTGATCTTGTTCTTTCTGATCTTCTTGCAGAAGAAATGTCCTCCCATACCCCAGCCAGCTAGGGCCTGGCACTCACGGGCAGATTGGAGCCTTCCCTGGCGTGGGCCGGTGTGTAAATGCTGAGGTACAGGCAGTCTTCGGACATGGAGGTGAAAGGCAAGGTCGCATTCAGCAGTTTCAGAAACATCTCATTTGTGATAGTGATGTTCTGCAGACACCTAGTGTGGCCGTACCATGGTCAAAATGAGATCCTGGGCCCACATTTTCTCCCAGCCTCCCTCAGTCCCACCTCCCCTGAGAACTTGCTCACACATGGTCCTTCCCTAAATCCCCTCTGCACCAAGTTACAGGCCACAGGCTCTGGGGAAGCTGTGATTGAGCCCAGTCTTCCCGGGAGGCCTCAAGGTTGTAAGGGCCTTGGATAGCAATCCTCCTGAGGCTGGGAAATCTTGACTTTTGGGGGTCTCTCTGAAACCCATGGGTTGCATGTGTTGGTAGGCACCACTGTCTTCCTGTACTCAGGCCGGGAGCAGGGGAGTAGCCCACACACATGTGCTGCCTGCATGAGTGGATATTAATTTCTCACAAGAAGAGCAGTGGGGCATCCCTCATCTCAAGTCAGACTGTCAGGGAACCTCATCACTCCAACATGGTTTCCAGTAGCAAGAACATACGCAAGCCCTTTGGCCAACGGCAGTTGGCCCTGCCACTGGCACGGTAACTGCACACAGTGGGGGTCCTCTACTCCTCAGGGATCTACAGTATCTGCTGCTGGAGTCAGGGGCTCCCATAGGGTTCATGGAGCCAACTCAACCTCTCCCAGAGACACCTTCCCTGGTGGCAGAGAACACTTGACATAACTAGAACCTAGGCACATCTGTATCTCTGCTCATCCCTTCAGCACTTGGAGCTAATGCCCCTTAAGTGCCAAGCCCCGAGCCTGGGAAAGTTACTTTGCCCTTCCAAGCCTCTGCATGCTCGTGGAAAAAATGCATGTGAGGACCCATCAAACTCAGAGGGGAGACTGGCTGTGGAGGCTTAGATGAAATGACAACTGTAACCTGGCCCAGAGTACCCTCCACCCCAGGGACTGGAGTTCCTTGGACTCCCTGCTTACATAGCTGGGTGGGAGGTCCCGTCCTTTACACCACTCCAAGATTCAGGGGGCTCAGGGGGTGCAAATCGCAGTGGTCCTAGAGGCGGTTTAGCAAAGGGAATTCCCAGGAAGGTGTGGACCCCCACATCAGTGCCTTTCACGTGGATGAGGCTTCCCCGCACCTGCCCCGTGTGTGTGGTCCGGATGGGGCTGGCAGAGTCCTGGCCTGTGAGCAGAGAAGTGGACATCAGGGTTGAGTCTACCAATTAGTTGCCCTCTCAGGCTACTAATGTTGCCCTCTCCTTCTGGTCTTCAGCTCAAGGGACTCTGACTTATAAACACTTGCTTTACAAATGTCCTGCCTTTAACCTTTGTGTGTCTACTC